TCATGCTCTCATATACACTTACTCCACACTCAACCAACGTGGAGACAGACATAAAGAGACGCTGTACACACGATCACACTCCCCAAGCGTACTCTAAGCCCCGGGTCTAGGTACCCTGATACTTGTTCATAATACTTTTTTGGTCTTTTTTTGTTTTAAGGTGATCAGGAGAAAATACAAGAATTCATTTGGTTGATATTAAAATATAGCTTCCTATGTTTGTTGCAGTTTGGTTAAAGACATATACAGATACAGTATCTCTACTCGGTGCAAATAAAGGCAAAAGGCCAACCTGGTGCAATGAAAAGTGTCTCACCTCATTCAGCACCATGTTCAGTTTGAACTCTATGCCATATCTCTCATCTTCACTGATGATGATCTGCTCATGAAGCTTCTGGCACAGTTCCTAAAGTCAACATAGTGATAAAAGTTTTTTCTTTTTTAGATGCTTCCAATTTCAAAAACCCACAAAAGAAATAAAATGCAATATGAAAAAAGCATATGTCAAAAGCATAATTGTTTGAAACGGTGCAGTTTCTTCTCACCAACAGCTCGTCCCTGGAGTACGGCAGCTCAACAGGAGGACATTTATCTGCCAAAAACGTCTCTCTCTCTTTGGCCTTCACATTCGCTTCAGCGTCCAATAAATTACCTGCCACCACGAGCATGCAACCCTGAGGAGATTACATCATCACCCCATGTCAGGTAAGAGGAAGCACAGGCAAGCAGATGGGCATGTATGAGGTATTTTGCTCTGTTAAGCTTATCAGTTAAAGTTAATCTTACCTTCAGGGTGTGCTTACGCCTCGCAGACAGCCTTTTCCTGCAGACGGAAACACAAATTATAATTGATGTAAGTAATGTATATTTGTGATGATCAATTTTATTGCAACCATAAAGATCGGTTTAATCCATTCCCAAAGGAAATAGTAATATATGTGGGTCACTGATGTGACATCAATATTTCATTGTCAAAGCAAAATGTCTGTTAAAATTAATTTCCTAAACGACATGTAGGTATTTTGATTTCTTTAAAAAAACTTTAAGGTTTTATACATTTTCAGTGCATTGAAATAAGTGAGCAGCTTTATTGTGACTGTTGCAAGGTTACAAAATGCAAAGCAACAAAGTCAGTAAAAAAACTCCAAAAGAGCCGGGCGATCACGAGGGAGAAGACACACGGGACTGACAGGAAACAGCACTATTTCTACACAAAAAGATAATCAGGGTAGACACAGGAGGGTGACAGGATGCAGTTGAAGATGACCAGTGACAAAGGGGCAGGAGGTGGAAGTAAAACTGAATACAAAACACAGAAGATTAAGGTATTAAAATACAAAATTGGACAATTGGGAAATGAAAAACAATTACAATGAAAGGAAAGGACAGACAGAGGATGTCAAGTCAGAGGGAAATAAAGCAGGGATTAATTAAAGTCTAGAAATACACAGTAACTAGAACTACACAGAGTACCAAAGATAAATGAAAATCAAAGATGAAATAAACAAAACTAAGAGCTTTTAATATTAAACAAGAATTAAAAACTTTGGAACCATCCAGGGATCGTGGAAAACATATGCATGTCTCATTAGTGACCCATAAATAATTTAATAATAAAGTAATCAGTGCAGTTATGATGAATGCAAGCTAAATGTCACACGCTGAATAAAAATAAAACCAAACAGTCCTTGTGAGGGAACCGCTTGTTCCTTTGCACACTGGCTGGTTACACAAACAGGGAAAATAAACTTACATGATTTACAGAAAATAGTAAAATTTTTACTCACTCAGTGGCCATGTTTGCTGGACGATCCTGAGGTTACCTGACAAACACATAACAAGAGTTAATGCTTTTTATTGGAATCAATTTAGATACAAATATACAAATATATACATTTTAATGTCCTTGCCAGCAAAATGGTGACAGGGACACAATAAAAAGCAAAACTAGAGAAAAACATAAGTCACAAAGGATAAGGAGAGAGCAGTGGTCTGGAGCCACCACCTGTTAAACCATCACCTGTCTGGGTGTTATCTTTCATATTTATACCACAAGGTTTAGGATTGTGTTCATGGGAATTTTTGACCATTTTCCCCAAGCACATTTCTGAGGTCAGACACTGACACTGGCTCACACTCTGCTCTAATTCATCCCAAAGGGCTTCTGTCGGGTTGAGGTCAGGACTCTGTGTAGGCCAGTCAAGGTCTTCCACACCAAACTCTCTCATCCAATTCTTTATGGGCCTTGCTTTGTGCACTGGTGAGCAGTCATGTTGAAACAAAAGCTGTTCCCACAAAGCTGGTAGCATAAAATTGTCCAAAATGTCTAAGGGATTGACCCAAACGCCTGAAAAACACTCCCACACCCTAATCCCTCCTGCACCAAACTTTACACTTGCCACAATGCAGTCAGACAAGTACTGTTGTCCTGGCAACTGCCAAATCCAGACCAGTCCATCAGATTGCCAGACAGAGAAGCATGGCTTATGGAGATCACATCTCTACTGCTCTAAAGTCCAGTGATGGCGCACTATACACCACTGCTTTCAGCACTTTGCACTAACCTTAGTCATGTAAGGCTTGGATGCAGCTGCTCGGTCATAGAAACCCATTCCATGAATCTCTCTACACACTTGAGCTAATCTGAAGACCACATAAAGTTTGGAGCTCTGTAGTGATTTAACTCTGCAGAAAGTTAGGTAGATGAGTAGAAGCACCTATGGTAGAGGTTGGCAACTTGTGGCTCCCTCACGAGCCACAGGTTACAATTAGGGTGAACGGTAATCCTGTTACTATTCATACTGGATGTAGTAATACTTAATGTATCCTCTCCCAGTTACATCTGCAAATCTGTCACCTGCGTGTGCTGCTCTTTTTCTCACGTTCTTTGGTAGGAGGAGCTAAAATGGCTCTTTTGATGTTGGAGGTTATGGACACCTGACCTAAAGTATTAATTCTCACCAGGGTCTCAAGTTATCATGATCACCAATCTGAATGTCCACGGGATAACAACTATACTCCAAGCCTTTTAGACTGAGGCGTAACTTACCAAAGATAACCCAAGCAAATACAACATGAAGTTTTTAAATGATGATTTCTTTTATTAAAGGGAAAGAAAGCTATCCAAACCGCTTTTATGACATCTTCCCATTCAAGTATTATACACAAACGCTGTGTATCAGCATAAACACCTCATACCAACTTTCATTTTTCAGGGGCTGATTATTTAGAGACCTTTTAGTCACCGAGTGGACCTCGAACTCCTCTTTATACTAAAGTAAAGTCGATTTAAATAAATGTGAGGTAATCTGTCCAACAGCTGAAACCTAGCCTACACTGCATCATGCAACAGGATAATAATCAAAGATAATAAGGAAATAATCACGGTGCTGCAAATTTGCAGCCAATTTTCAGATGTCAGTCTGATTGACAGTACATTCAGAGAGCTGTGCATGTAATGAGTGGGTCAGAATTCCTCCACAACAATGTAAGCGACTGATAAACTCATACAGAAATCTATTATTTCCAATTATTTTTTGCTAAAAATGTACTTTTTTCACAGGACTGCAGAGAGTCCTGTGAAGACATTTTCCCTTGGGAGTAAATAAAGAAATGAACGCCCATTTTCTTTGGTATATTAACAGCATTGGCAACAGTGGCAAAGATCTAAGAATAGCACGGTTGTGTTATCTTTCCATGGAGCACTAACAAGGCAGAGTTTCAGCGTACTCGTTTTATCAAACGGACAAAGAATAAATCTTTGGAGCACTTTCAAATGTGGCCTCAGAAAAATCCATGCAGCTTTTCTGCTGACGGGTGGAGGAACGCTTCCTTTAGTCAGGCTGCCCGCAGCTGTCCACTGTTTGCTTTATAAAGAATTGAGGGTGAACAAGGAAAAGCAATAACCCACATTTTTATTTCAGTATTAAACCGCATCATGTCTCCGTTCTCTGACGCTGTCCTGCACCCACATTCACCTATCTCATATTTCATGTTTGGACTGTGTGAATTCTATCTTAAGACATCATGTTAATTCCAGGAAATTTCATGGAACGGCACTTTGTAACCCAGGACGTGTTAATGCCTTAAAGGAACCATGCCGCTATTTCTAGCAGCACAGCTCAAGGGATACAGGTCCAGCACTGCGAAGGGAAACATTTCAACAACTGTGGATTGCCATGACATTTGGTTTGTTGTCTTGTGCCTGTGCTTTCAGCGCCACGAGCAGGTCAGACTTTTTTCTTCACTGTAGCATGCAATAAAAAATGAATTTGCATAGATTTTGGAACAGATTACTACAATGCTAAATCAATGTTATGTTATCTAACTAAAAGCCAGTGTTATAACATTGTTATAAGGGTCACAGTGTTATAACAAGCATATAATACCAGCGCCACACCTCTAAAATAACCTGAACAGACGTGTACTTTTGGTGTGATGTTTACAGAACATGCTAATATTAGCATGATAATAAGATAATGACCTTTACAACGCCCAGCATATGATATAAAGAACATTGAGGAGTTCATGACTATCCTTCCACTTCACACACTCTCTATAAAAAGACAACTACTTTCTCCTTTGCTTCTAAAAGATTATCCCTACCAGAAGTGCATCATGTAGCATGCTTTATAACATCCACCCACGTCTTCTTCTGTTTGTCCAAAGTTGGATATCGCATCTTAAGCAAGGGTATTCTAGACATCCCTCTCCCCTGCAACATTTTTGGTCCCTCCTGGGCAACCTTGAGCCATTCCCAGGATAGATGAGACATGTGATACCCCCAGCTCAGGGTCTACCCCGGGGTCTCCTCCCAGCCGGACATGTCTGTAAAACCTCCAAAGGAAGGCACCAAACCACCACATCTGACGTCATTTGGATGTCCTTTTGACACAAAGGAGCAGATGTCAAAGCAACCCAAGTTCCAGGGCTGAGCTCTTGTAGCTGTCTCATTCTTTTTCATTTGTCACTAACTAGAGCTTATAACCATGGGTGAGAGTTGGAGCACAGATCTGCCTTTAAAGCAAACGTTGATTGCTTTACAAGTCAAGCTTTTCACCATAATAAGCCTGTCAAACTCCTGCATTTCATCTAACTCCAAATGAGTCAGCCTTCCCATCAGACACTCTACAGTGCCATCACTTACAAGCAAGACCTCAAGATATTAAAACATCTTAACAGCAACCCAGCCCCAGAGGGAGCAATCTGCAGTTTCAGGAGAGAACCAAGGTTTCAGACTTGGAGATGCTGACTTTAACACTTGGCTGCAAGATGTCGCAGTGGGTGCTAAAGATTGGGGCCTGATAAAGCCAACAGAACACGTCAAGTGGAAAAAGCAGAGCACGATGCCATGTCTCCATACTTGACATGCTACTCACCAAGGCCCAGACCTTTAAGCCTTTACTGTCTGAGAATACAGATAGTTGTCTGAACTGTAAACAACCCCAAATTTTAGGGTTATTTTGTCCATTTACAAGCCACACCTAAGACATAATCTGTCAATTAAGATGCTGCATAAGCTTCACTTCTGGAAATGTACCTTCTCCCTTTATTATCATCACAGATAATGGTACATAGCTAGAAAACAGTTGCTTAGGCATGTTTGTGGATGGCAGTATCAGTCTGTCAGCCCATATATTCAGTTATTCTGGCTTTTCTTCCAATGTGACATCCCTGCTTACTAATCACTCATCTTATCAACAACTTCAATAACTTTGTTGAGCCTCTGAATTTTCATCTAGCCCAACCATTAGGTACTTGGAAGTTCATGACATGTAAAACTACTGACATTTCCATAGTATCAGCTGGAGTTTTTGTTTTGTTTGCAAATAGATCCAAACTCCAGGCAAACAAAATGCAAACTATCTGCAGGGTTAGATATCAGTGGACGGGTAAACCAACCCTTCAAGTACCAGCCACACGACACTTGTAGACATCCTCAGAAGTTAGACGGTCACTGCCTGAGCTGCTTGTAATGTTTAGGAGATGTGATGGAGGAGAGGATTAAGACTATTTCTGGAGCCACAGCTGTTCTTAACGTCTTCATTGTACAGGGGGAAAAAAGAGGGACAGCAGGCTCGCCTTAAAAGAAAAGACGAGTGACAACCACTGCAGGCATCCTAACGCACATAAATGACCAGGAACACATGGTCGTCATCTGTAAGCCAATAAGAAGCCGGTGAGGGGGGTATCGCCGGGTATTTTAAGACACTCAGAACTCCGAGGGCACAACAGCATGTTGCTCTGGAGATAAAATCATATTTGTAGGGGCCTTGATTTTTAAGTGTGTGTGCGTGTGTGAGTATCATGAGCAGGATTGTCTCTGAAGGAGCAGGAGGATTCACAGTAACCCAATACTGCAGAACATCCCTCAGACAGCCAAGACACTAGAGCATATCACAAAAATAGTGTGCCGCTGCCCTCAGACACACACTGCTTCACTCTTACAAAAATAAAAACAAGAAGATACAGGATACATTTCCATCCAATGCAAAATCCTGAATTGAATCTGCTGTAATAGCATGTGTGTTAGAGAAAAGACTCAAAGGTGTTCAAAAAGCCTAAATGAAGCTTGTCTCAAACACTTGTAGAAGAGCATCAATAGATGAATGATGACTTCAACAGCGGCTGTTGGAAAGTATTTTTTAAAACGAGCCAAAACACAAACGACATGTGGAATAAAATATTTTTCTAGCTTTGTGGTCGGGCTTATTCTGCACAAACATAGTTTCAGGTACTATGTTTCCCTTTAAGTCTCATCCATGCATTTCCATTTGAGTGTCCCAAACAGCTGAAAACTCCAGATAAAGACATAGATGTGAAGCTAGATTTGAAATGAAGTTGATAAAATGAAGTTTTGCTGTTTATATTTTCCTCAAAAATAATATTTCTACAAAATATAGACATGGGTATAACAAAAACAATATGACTTAAAGTTATATTTAAAATACACAATCTGTTGTTCAGAGAAGTCCAGAAAAAGAACCAAAAACCAAGCCATACTGGGCTTTAATGTTTTAACGCGTGTGGAAAAAAACAGGCTAAATTTGATTCGTATCTGTAAATGAAAATATATGTAGTGTGTATATATTGTTTTTTGTTTTATGTGTCTGAAACAAATAAAGATACAATACAATACAATAAGCAGGGATTAAACTGAAGTGTAAAATGTGAAGTCAGGTCCCTGAAGATTAGACCCAGTTTTCTTCTGCTGTCCCCCCGCTTCCCTCAGTGCTGACAGGAGGATAAACACTGACAGATCGACTTTCAGGTTAATGCCTTGTAGTGGTGTCATCTTTCAGCATGCCACATCACCACGCCATACATCACCGTATGCCAATGCAGCAGAGCGAGCACACGTCAAGACGGAAAACTACTCTTTCAAACTTTGAAATCCTAAAAATATGTCAAGTAATTACATGTAACTCCACACAAACATTAACTACAGAGTGAGGAAATCACTCAAATTCTCCACTGTCAACATTCGATATAATGGTGACTTCCAAAAGACGTAAAACCTCCAAGAACCTTTTATGGTCACTACAAACTTATCAAACTGACACCATCTTTAAATAGTTGGCCAGGCGCCAACAACAGCCTCCCATCAATGACAGCAAATATCAAATATTCTCCTCTGAGATCAAAGCTTCAACCTTCCACAGAGACATTTACGTCTGCACTCCCAAGACGAGACAAATCATCTACAGCTGCAACCAACCAAAATGTGATCAACTAAAATAAAAGAGGAAAAGAGAGAAATCTTACTTTAACCAGGCCGAGCTGTTAGAGTCACGGAGACACAGACAGAGTCGCAGGCAGACCAAGTGTTAAGAAGGTATATATTGCAATCTCCATGGCCTTCTAAATCCTGCACTTTCTCGTTATGGAAGTGGATTACTGGTCAAACCAATGAGCTGGCAAGGTCATGAAATACAGTACACTGTCATCTGCCCCCTTCCACGGCTTGCCTCATTATAAATAACCCGCCCTTTAACATTGTAATCTGTATTATCTTGAGCCATCAAGTCTCTGACAGGCAGAATTCAAGGAAGAAATGAAACCACAGAGATATTTTATGAATCCCACTTAACACTTATATAAATACTTTGCTGACAAATGATGAGTTGAGATAGAGCAGGAAAACACACACTGCTAACTTTAACCCGTTGGCTATGGAGAAGCTTTTTTTTTTTCATTTTAATATTTGAAAACAGGAGGAAGAGGAACTCACAGTGTGCTGCTGCAGAGATGAGCTTTGGAGGTGACTTGGTTAAATAAGAGAACGTTAGCATCCTATAAAACATTAATAAACAGTGTAACTCACATTTTAGATTATTTTAAACCTGGGATAAAATGTGGTGATAATTTAAAAAGAACTAAAACAACTTTAGAAAAACATTTGATAAAGAACACTTACCTGTGACGTGTCCCTGAGTGAAGACAGTCGAACACCCTTTTTCTACTGATGGCCCAAAGTCTGCGACCACAATTAAAAAGTTGTCATATTTTCAGAGAAAATTCAAAAGTAGTTTCAAAATTTCAAAGAAGTTTCTCAGAACTTAGATTTTTTTTTAAATACTTGCATTGCCCGTGCTCTTAAAGGTGAGAGCGGCTGTTTTAATTCCATGCAGGTAAAGAGGACTCATCAAAAAGTCTTTAAAGGATGATCGAAATACACCAAGTCTAATAAGCTCTTTGAAAAGGAGCACCAGGAAATAAGAGGAGACAAGGGGAGAGACAAGAATATGGACACACACAGAGGAAAGAAAACAAAGGAAGGAACAGACTCAGAAAGAAAGTCGTTACCAAAATAAAACTGGGAGCAAAAGTGAAAGAGAAGGCCACTAACAAACCGGTAACCACAGATGACGGCAAGGAAACACAGTAGACATCAGGAAATTTTGATATTATATCAAAACCAAAATGTAAACACTAAGCAAGAAACCATGAAGCTTGTATTCTTTCATTTACTCAAGAAAGCTTCTGCCCAAAATGCTGACTTTAACATATTAGGTGGCATGAAGACTCCAGCAATACTTGAACAACAACAACAACTTTATTCGCTGACCAACACGTCTCGGCTTCATCAGGGACAGAAATTATTAGATTTAATGGATTCTGCTCAACTGAAATGTATTAATTGGTATCATTCATTTAATAACAATCCAAATTTCTTTAAAGATTATGCATTTGAATAAATAAACCTTTAATTTTATATATCATTTTACTTCCAAATGAGACTCAAGTGTCTTTCTCGAGACATTTTTTTTATTTTTGAGCATGATCCAAAACAACTTTAAATTTAATGTTCATGTGAATGATCAGCAGTTAAAATGTTCATCTCTTTAATCGTTATTTTCTCCCGGGAATTATACTTCTGCTTTCTTATATTATACTTTTACATGAGCCCAAAAGCAAGATTTTTTTTCATAGTATATTTAAATAATAAATTTTATGAAGCTTTGTAAACCTTCATATGGTTGTAATATTCCGAGTTAAACACGAGTATTTCAGAAACATTGTTGACACAGAAAGAATAAAAACTAAAAGACGAGCCTGGTATCAGAATGTAGGTAAAAAGAAGAACTTTCCTATCATTTAGCTTCTTCTGAGAAACCAGAATCCTACATGCTGATAGAAACCTTGAAAGTTATAGACTTGTGGAGTTATCTCCAATCGTGTTTTCAATGAGAAAACTGATCAAACATCCAGGGTACCAATATGTTATACCCTGTGATACTGGTGCTCAGATTTCTTCATAGGCAAAAAAACAAAAAACAAATAAGATAAAACTAAAGCTAAAAATAGTTCTGAGGAAAACTAAGAGTTTAGTTTAGATTGTGACGCTTGTAGTCAGTGTAAAATTGTTGTAAAACTGTTTGTAGCAGAGCTTAAATGTGTTTTGTAGCCTTAAAAATCACACATACAAGCTTCAGCCCATTCCTACAAATGTGTATGATTATGAAGGATGAGGATCAAACTTTGTGTGACTTCATTAAACTTCCAAATTGTAGAAATAACAATCAGCTCATCAGATGAAAACTGGGATCACAAATAAATCTTAAAAAAATGACATATTGGTTTATTGGTCTATATTTGCAATTTGTGGAACTTTTCTCACTCAGGATTCTTCGACTGAACTTTTATTGACAAAAGATCCAACCATCATTACAATTGAATGGTGCAAATCACTACGAAAAGTTCTGCTGTTCCCAAAGCAAACAGGGAGGTCAAACACATACAAAGATATTCTGCTTTTTCTTAAACAGTCATCTTTTCTATCAAACTGTGAAACCTGTGGGAAAGATTCAATTCCAAGGTGATTTGTATGAAGTCTTGGTGTCACCTCTGTCTGTCACCAAAAATCAAAGAACCATCGAAGATGAATTTAGAGTTTTAGTTAATCTGCCTGACACCATTAGATCCTTTGGGCCTCATAAAGCAAAAACAGCCACAAACACGACTCAGTCCGGAACTCTGAACCGCATTAGAGCTGCTGCTTTTTAACATTCCCGCAAGCTAAAGAGAAACCACAAAAAGATCTTTTTTTAAGAAAAAATAAAGGACGTGTTGTTTCATTTTCCCTTCACTCCTATTTATTGAAAACTATCCTAACCTCCACTTCGGTATGTCAGCACAGCCCCGAAATGCATATTCTTAAGACCAAATAGTCAGCTAACTGACCACAGGTTAAAGAATATTTAAGAAATGTTCTCAAAAACAATCATCGTGATGCTGAAAAGTCATTGTTCAACTATAATAATAATAATAATAATAATAATGCAAAGATTAAAGTATTATGTCTATGATATCATAGAGAGGGAAAAGTATAAAAAACTGCGTGAAGTTAAGTGTTTCGAGCAGTCGGCAGCCTGAGAGTTTGGTTGACAGGGATTACTGAGTATGTGCAGTGATCCCTGTCAGCCAAATGCTCATTATTACAAACTTTGGATATTTTTAATTTGGGTATCCAAATTAAAAAAAAAAACAACTCACTGTTGTTTTGGAATAAATCACATTTTCTTCAGTTAAACACACACTATGTCCATAAGCATGAGCCATCACAGCGCAGTTATCATTTAGAGGTTATTTTTTTAGACTGTGGCTGTCTCTACTGTCATAGTTTGGTTTCTATTAGTGTAAACCAGAAATGCTTCAACCTGGTTGGCATTACCATAAGTAAAGACAGCACATCTTCTTCAGCAGGAATTGTTTGTTTATTCAGTAAAAATGTTTACAGGATCAAAAATGGTTGTGTGCTTTCTAATCGTCACATTAAGCCTGTCAGTGACAAACAGAAACTAAAAATACTCTTAAGCATTGTTTAGGCCTCAGCCTCAAACATCTTCTTCCTCCCATCCATGCCGGATTTGTCTTCAATGTTTTTGCGCCAGTCGCCGACATCACGGAGATCTTTGTCCTAAAACACAACCAAAAAAGAGAGCCAGGTTAGGTGCTTTAATTAAACAGTGTCAGAGAATAATCTCAGCCTCATACACCAAGTTAGAGTCTAATAAACTGTTTTCATTTGAATACAGCGATAAAAGGCACATTTCACCAAAAGCAGAAATATTTGGGCATGATCTCGATCACCTTTTGCAGTTACCGCTCTATTAGGGTGTTGACAAGTGTTATATGGCCAGATGTGGCCCAAATGTCACAACACACATGGGATCTGTTCAGTACAATGTAGACCGATGTGCGGACCCTGAGACTCAACAGTGTTAGTCACGACCAAATATGACCAAAAGAAGAATCAAATGTCGTTGCTATTTAATGAATTTTGATTAAACGTTGGTTAAGTGACAAAATGTTAGAAACCTAAAAAATATAGCATCAAATGATAAATGCACATTGATAAATATTACTGGCTGCTGCTTTTGAGACAACAACAAACACATTTATAAAATATGCATCCAACCAGGTCCTCACCTCGTCCTTCACCTCCTTCTTGACCTGCTTCAGGTTGGCTCTCAGGTCCAGGTTAACTGTGTGTTTGGAGCCTAGCAGAGCTTTCAGCATGGCGTCTGCAGACATGCGTACTTTCTTCAGCACGGGCTTCTTAAACTTGCCCATCAGGTCCTGGACTTTAATCTTCAGGTCATCGATCTGGAAAAGCAGATTACAGAGACCATGATGAACGTTCTTCAGCATGGAATTTGATCAAAAGCACTGGATATTCCAGTTTTATTTAATCATCAGAACATTTAAAGTGTCGGGTGAAAAAAAGTAGAAGGTTTGCCATCTGGGCAGCGGTGCTGTGTTTTACATAATTTTATTCACACTCCCTAAATCTGACATGACATCCTTCTGCCCCATGGAAGACTTCACCATCAACCGATACCTTAGTTTAAATGTTCAAACAAAGCACAGCCCGAGCTTCTGATGATGGACGCACGGCAGGTTCCGCAGGGTTATATTCTACCTCTTTGTTGGCTTTGTTGACTTTCATCTCCAGGTCGTATCGCTCCTCATCGATCCCGTCGATCTTGCGGTGGATCTCCTTGCACAGATCCTGAGCACAGATGCAAAAGCCATTGTTACACATGCACTGCAACTATGAACTTTTCCAGACGTTACCCAACAGAGATGCATATTAGAGCACAAATGCTGGACATGAAATGGTCATTAACGAGCCAGGTCGCTAGTCTGTGTGACATCCTCAGCACAAGTGTTGGTGTTCTTTTGTGACATGCCTGCAGCTCCTGCATGGTCCTGGGCATGGACACAGGAGGACAGGTCTCAGCTATGTACCTCCTCTTTGCCTCCTCTCGCTCTCTTTCTTCCTCCTCCAGTATACCTTTAGCGATGGACAGCATCAAACTCTTCAAAAAAAATAACGTACATGTCACATCGAGTGTACATGCAGAT